GGGCAGGATAAGTAGCTGAAACTGTTGAATACAAAATTGATGATCTGAAATGTCCCCACCTAAATCATAAAAAAAATATTTTAAAGCACTTCTTAAAAGACATAATAGTTAGGCAAGATCATTCTTTTACCAGCTAAGCTGGGTTGTGGCTTTGTTTTAAGAAGGCCGTAAAAGGGGAATTTTTTTTTTATGATTTAAAGATTATTTGGGGGAAAGTTTCAGGGATTTATCCAGGCCCCATGGCTCAAGAAAATCTTGATTCCATGAGATTTAAAATTCTTTCCTGTATTTATCCCTTTTTGATTAGGACTCTCCTAAAGAATCTTGACCAAAATTTTCCATAATGATAGCCCCATATGCTCTTTTCCTCTTTCTCGTTCTTATTTTTTTGTTACCCCAGGCAAACCTGGCCAAAGAGAAACCATTGCAGACATCACATTAGGGATGAGTTAATTAAATATATAGAAGGCCAAATATATAAGACTAATTTTTAAGTTGATAAGTTTGAAAGGCTTGGGAATAGTAATATATATATATATATATATATATAAATGGCCCTTTGGCAGAAAAAAGACTCTCCTCCTTGGTCTATGTGGTCTTTTTTAAAAAAATGATGTTTTTGTTTTATTGTGTCCCTTGCTATAAGTAATGTATTTTCATGGAATTTTTCTAGTTATCATAGAAAAGTCAAAACGTATTTAGTTTATTGCTAAAAATATTACATGGATATAAAAACATACTTAGCCCCAAATTTTTCTTATAACTGATTTTTTAAGAATAAATAAATAGATAGATTTTATTTGTTTAGAATGCATCATGTACATAGGCAAATATATAATAGATATCAATAATGAAGTAAAATCATATTTATGAATGAGGTAAATATTTATATTTAATAAAATAAAGCACAGAAAGGAAATAGAAGCTAAATAAAAAGCTGATATAGAATAACAAGTACCATTACAATTTAATATTGTAATATTAAATACACACAATTATTTGAAAGACACAAACATAATGTAAACTTATATAAAATCACACATATGTTTACCATGAGAAAATTGCTTTCATG